TTAGCACATTAAGAAAACGTATACACAGCACAAAGCAATTAATATGCAATGGGTATGGTTTGAGACGTATGTGCTCTGTGTAGGTCACCATCACCTTTGCATCAGCAAGAACACTTCCCCAACAAATATAGCTCAGTCTGTATTCTGCTAAATATCTACACCGTCTAGGCTGAGAAACATCTAATATGCAATTTCAACCATAATAACAAAGAAGGTAAAACACCGTCATAAATGCATGATGATGACGACACATGCACAGCAGCAAAAACTCAGAGAACAAAAGAATACTTGAGCATGCATATATACCTTCTCCATATGCAGCTATCCAGCAGACAAAGAAAATATGTTTACAGCATCTATTCCTTGTTCAATCATTTGTGATTTAACTACTTGGTCATTGGCATCATTTAAGGGGGGAAAAAAAAAGACAGATAGTAAAACCTACAGAAGGATTATGAGCTTTTCGTACTACTAAGCAATTGAACTGTTTGTCAGCAATCACCTTATCTGCAGAACATTGATTTCATTTTGTTGTCAATTTAGGGTTAAAATGAACCATGTATGTGAAACAATATTATATGTTTTAACACTATAAATCATATTTGCCTTTATATGAATAACAATGCATGTCAGATTCAATATTTTGACATTTTGTCATGCTGAAATATATATCTTTTTTTCATACCAAAAGGCAAAATATTCTAATACTGCATATTTCAGATCAGTGAACGTAAGACTTATACAATGTGTAGCTATGAAATTATTCACATAGTTGCTACAAAGTCCAGTTACACAATGCTGACAGATCTGTTGTACAATGTGGAGGTAAAATTTAAAAGGACAAACAGATTAAATTTCATAAAGGGTCCATTCATAGCTATGCGTTAAAATGCACAATAAAAAGGTTGGCCATTGTTTTAAATTGTGCTAGATCACATTTTAATGAAAAAACGTTGGTCTGTTTTTTTGACACATTAATGCGTGTTTTAAGGCCTATGGGTGTCAATGGTACCATGTTACAATGCGTGTCAACAAATGCTGATAACATACAGAACTGCACAGAATGGTGTGAATCAAGCCTATGGCTGGCTATACGTAGGAGCTATTTTGCCAACACAAAGAAAGATTAGATATTTGCTTGCTAGAGGTCTATTGTACCTTGTAGCCACTACAATTATTTCTCCTCATGTATATTTCATCATGTCCTTCCAGAAATAAGATCGGCAAAAGGATTTTTATAATTTATCTTTTTCAGTTGCAAAATTTTAGTTCAAGTGAATGAAATATTTCAATCTCCGAGTCAATTACTGGGTCAAGCACAGACAATTTATATGTATGCTGATCACCACTTAAATACTTCCCATTTAACTCAAATAATCTATTCCAACAAAGATTTTTATAGTGTATGAGTTTCTTCACGTTTTCAAACCTGTCATGTAAAACCGATTAACAAAATCCTATTGTGACATATTTTCTTGCAAAAATCAGGCAGTGTATATGTTGGAAAGGTACCTGTCATGGAAGCTTTTACATTGACCACCACAGTGCTATAGGACAAACCCACAAGAGGTACTAGTTACACCTCAGGTGCATCACATTGCATGGTCCCACATAGCTGTGCACAGTCCTGGAAGGAGCACCCTTTCCCAGGAAAAAACAAACTGTGCAACCTCCAACACTGCAGAGAAGGAGGAATGAATGCTCATAAGTAACAAATCTCAGGACTAGATAAAAAAAAAAAAAAAGCTTGCAACATGAAAAGCTGGGAATACACAGAATTTCTTATGAACGTTTCTATGAAAAATCTCATCAGAATATTCAATATTGCCATCAGAGACCTGACAAACGTTCTTTAAAACATTGTCTGTTTTTTACAGTTCAATTTTGCAATGAATGGAGTTTCCTGAACGAAAAACCACATTCACTGTTGGAATTTCTTTCTATCCATTCTACTCCTTCGAATTATTTTGGCACTATGGTGAAAAACATTTGTTTGACTCCACTGACTAATAGAAAATCAAACAAAACATTCTAAAAACAATGAGTGAAATTCTAACCGTGTATACCCAGATTCATAAACATCTGGTGATAAATCTCTGAAACAGTGCCTTGTGGGTCCATTCGCACTAGTGCACACCTTCCTCACATTCCTTCTCAATGAGCCCTCAATGCACATACACGGATGAAAAGATAGACCCGATTAATTATTTCCTAGCAAACCAAAAGGCAATGCATTTTTTTCAAATTGCATTTGCATTGAGAGTGTTGGGTTGGCATGGAAAATGAATGTCAATGCACTCCATAGCACATGGGCCTAAAAGAACCATTTGAGCCAGAAGTTGAAATTAAGCTGAGGTTGCCTGGAGATTTGAAAACAAGGGAGGTAGCACAAAGGCTTTTTGTTGCAGCAGAGGGGGAATCTACCTAGCTACAGTCAAAAACATCGGCTATAAAAGGATTTACAAAGATGTTTCACTGATATGCGCTGCCTATTTTTTGCCACAGAAAACAGCTCGAAATCCTTCAGTTTCAAAAGGCACAGCAACATTACAGCGTACACCAGAAAAGAAGGTGGAGTAGTCAACTCCATGCCAGATACAAGATCAGACACAGGCCAAGTAAGGCATAAATGCAGAAGCATAACAGCAGCAAGCATGAGTCGATGCCATGTCAAACTGCTGCTGGCCAGCTTACTGCCAAGATGTGCCATTTCTTCCTTTATATGCGGCATTCATGCCCGAGTTGCATTGTCTCTGGATGCTCGCCTGGAGAGACGAGGTACACACCCCCTTTCTTCTCTCAGCTTTCATCACACAAAATCAGATGGACACGGACCTGAAACAATCACTTTTAGCTTAATTAATGCATAAAACATAATATTGGACAAGCATCCGCAGCAACACAGATTCAAAAGAGCACAGGGGACAGTTACATTTCATATAGACAAAATGTTGGAATTAGTTACTACACACTGAATAAATATCAATTGTAGGAAAAACAGAAAGACTAAGTTTCTATTGTTACTGTGCATATTTATTACCTGGGCAGGGTAACATGTGTACGTGATAAAAGGGAAAGTAAAAGCACTGAACACAGAGGTTGGGCTGCTAAGCTTACAGCTGCCTGGAGCGATAGTAATGCAGGCATATGGGCAGTGACACATTCAGCAGCCATTCCTGCTGCTCTTTCATGACCAATCCTCGGCAATAAAACACCCCGCACAGCCACAACGCCACCTCCATTGGCACAAACAAATCATCCCTCTGTACATAGCGCACAGAATACAAATCCAACTTTACCTCTCCAGACATGGATCCAACCGAGACAAAACAAAGGATACAATACCCCATGCTACAGGATGATGCCAGGGGTGACATCTGTCTTTTTCACCTACAGAGGTAACGAAGCAGCAGATCCTGCACTCTAGTGACCTGGATCTCCCCCGAGACAAAACATACTAGACCACAGGAAGAAGCATGCTAGAAAAATCCAGGAAATACTCCATGATGCAATTATACACAACTGCAAACAGGCTGATGTTTTGAAAAACAATCAAAACACACACACACATTTTATACACACACACAATCCTACAACATCATAACAGTGTTTGTAAAACAAATGTAAATAAGTACACAAAGAATCGGGATGAATCAAAGAATGTTTAACTTTTACACTGCCACATTAAAAAGTATTTACTGTTATAACAAATACAATTCCATTCGAGAAAGCTGTCCCTTTTTATTGTGATACCCTGTGTCAGCATGGCATGCTATTGTGTCACCAACTGTCTGCCTTTGTTTTTGGAAAGCTGAAAAACATGGCCCCTAAAGCATTCAGGATTAATATAGTTAATCTGCAGCTCAAAAAAAAAAAAAAGTGGGACAAACTGGGGCACGAAGCACAATGAGGTCTGGGCTTTAAGTATTTACTGTTATAACAAATACAATTCCATTCGAGAAAGCTGTCCCTTTTTATTGTGATACCCTGTGTCAGCATGGCATGCTATTGTGTCACCAACTGTCTGCCTTTGTTTTTGGAAAGCTGAAAAACATGGCCCCTAAAGCATTCAGGATTAATATAGTTAATCTGCAGCTCAAAAAAAAAAAAAAGTGGGACAAACTGGGGCACGAAGCACAATGAGGTCTGTGCTTTACAAGCAAAATAAAAACCTACTAAGGGCAGGATCCAAGTGACAATCCCCAAAATCAGTTGCCACGGTGGCCAAGTATTAAACGCAGCCGTCAGTCTACTGGGATGTAAAAGAAAACACTTAGGTAGGACTCCAAAATAAATGGAGCAAATAGTCAAATGTGCCACATGAACACGTGGGCCCCCACACAACAGGGCTGAGCATCTGCTGCAAGAGTCCGCAGACAGTGAGATGCCGTTCATTCCATTTTTAATGGGAGATCAGATTTTGTGGAAGACACAGAGCACCAACAAACTGACAACTGGGCATGTGGAAAAGTCTGAGAACATTGGATCCACATACACAAAACCTGACAGCACTTCTCAGGGATTCTACATGAGCTTGTCCTGCTATAAAATGGCCTGTGTGTGTTTATTATTTCATTCTGCATTTGTGAATAAGCCCACAGCACAGGGATTGTGGATGAAGCCAAGATCCCTTTATGTGGTGGGGGCTCAGACAAGAAGAGAGCAGTGTAAGGGAACATTGGCACACAGACAGTAAGCTGTGAAGGAAAACCCATCAGCTGTAGTGGAGGGCCCGCTGGGTTGTTGTGGAGGGGCTGCTGGGTGCAGGGGCCAGTGACAGAAGGGGGTGTGGATAGGACAGGGATATGAGCACAGTTCCCGTGAAGAGGATTGCAGGCCCGCACACTGTACCCGGGCCTTCCCCTCCAGGACACATCGTGACATCCCGCTAGTTACCAGGGAACAACACGAGTGACCCCACTGACGTGACCCGTACCCGCTGTCACCCATCCCCCTCCAGTGGGCCTGCGCTCCCCCATGTGACCCCCCCAGTTGCTCACCTGCTATCACACGAGTCTCTCACGCTCCCCGGTCCTCCCCTTACGCTCGGGCGTTCAGCTGTAATGGGGTGAATAGCCTTGAACGGAGTGTACGGCGCTCAGTAGCCCGGCAGCCTTCACACAGCAGCGCTCACACCCCTCTTCTTCCCTCTGTCTCTCTCCCGCCCTCCCCCTCTCTCTACACACTCCCCACCTCCCCAGCACACGGCCCTCAGCGACCCGAAACGGATTGGACGCAGCTCGGAGGCCCACGTGACTACAGACCTCCAGGTCCCATTGGCAGGCTAATGGGGCGGTGCTAAGGCTGTCAGTCACGCTCACACAGTCTGCAGCGAGCACGGGCTATTGTATGCAGGGTGATGGTGATAGGCTGCCTCTGTCAGCCAGGCTTTTCACCTACATATGCGGAGCAGACACATGCAACTGACACACGTTCACTACTCCCAGCGGCCATTAGCATCGTTCTACGTGCACTAATAAAGAGCGTTCACTACTCCATATGCCTCGGTCCGCAAAGCCCCGCCCCCTCACTTACGTCACGGAAAAGGCAGCTTCAACCTGTACGAGCTGGCAGTTGGAAACAAACCTGCGACCGCGGATTGGTTGCTAGGGCAGTGGCGTCACCCGGGAATGGCAGCGCCTGGAAGAAGGTTCTCGAATTGCAAGAGGGCGAGGAAGCGAGCAGGAGGCGATGCCAGCCGGCGAGTTCGGGCGCTGGCCACGCCGGGCTTCTGATGGGCTCTCTGGCTGTGTCTGTTGTCCTCAGAGTCTAGTGTGCTCGTCTCCATTTCCGTTTCTGCCTTCACTATTGTTGTGATGGCGCAGTGAGTATTGTCTGCTCGGCTGCCAGGGCGCATGCGCCAAGTCGGGGGGGGTTTCACGTGATCTGCCAGATGCGACAGTGACGCAAGCAGCAGCTGTTTTGACAGATCTGAGCGGTGTGTGTGATGTGTGTATAGTGTCAGGAGTCAGAGGCTGCGTTATCTATGTGTGTAATACGTGGTGCTTGTCTGATTGTCATTTCTAGTCATGTGACTGTCGGGGTTCATTTACTAAAGGCAAATGGGCTCTTCACTTTGCATTCAATCATGTGCAAGAAATTACTTTTTTTTTAAATTATTTTGGACAAGGGTGTTTTTTGTGCAAATTTAAATTTCTCCACTCACTAAGCTAAGGGAAACTTCCCCTGCAAAGTGCAAATTCCCTCCAGGAAGATAACAGTTGTAATGACTAGTGATGATTGTTACGGTTTAGTGACAATAGCCTTTAGTGTGCAAGGACGCAGCAAAAACAATTGATGGCCGCATTAGCGCATTGAGCAGAAATGTAGGCAGCTGCCTTTTTATGGAGCACAGTGTGCATGCCTTGAAGATTTTGACCCTTGATGTGGCCTGTACAGCAAAAGCGTATTTAAAAAGTGCAGTTCGCACACAGTAAAATACAGACGTGTGTCAACGCACTCTAATGCACATGCATTTTCTGTGCATACATATGTGCGTTGTGTGAACAAGCCCCTGGCCCCTCTAACTTAAGCTGAGCACCTTTTGGTCTTTTTTTTGTATGCATTTCAGGCTTTAGCTTTTTTTTTTTTTTATTATTGTTAGTCAACTACTAGGCAAGAAATGTCCACGCGTTATTAGGCACTCCCGTGCATGACTCCCCAGATGAAGATTATGTACTTTTTAAAGTGACAAGCTTCAAATGATGCTACACTCAGGTGTGATTGGGCACCACTGAATATAATGGAAATCCTACAGGTCTATTCAGAAAAAGAGAACAGTTTGGAGACAGCAGGAGAAGTAAACAATCTAGGACAACATAGCTGGAAAAATTCTCCAATTCAGCTCACTTTCCAGTTCAGCTATGTTGTCCTAGATTGTTCACTTCTCCAAACTCTTCACCCTTCAGTTACCAGACCTGCTAGTGTCCAGCGTTGAAGCTCTTCAGACCGCTGAGGTGTGAACGAGGCTTTAAAGTTCAGTAACCCACGATATCACCATCTCAGCTGATTAGTTTCAGGATCAGTTGCTCTGGCTGTAGTGTGTACATGAAGGATGCTGCTTTCAGTGCTCGCACAATCACTCCATTTATTACAGCAGATTCATTATCGCGCAGTTTGCATGCAAACAGAATGATGGCATTAAAGCAGAACTTCATGAATTTTTTTTTTTTGCTGACACAAGTCAGACAAGTTACCTGTAAAAATGATTATGCCATCTGTGGATCTTCTAGATACCATAAATGTTTCTGAAGCTGGAAACTGCTGTCGGTGCTCTTCTTCCAGCGCAGTAACTGAGAGCTGCGGGTGTTAAACTGGCCATACACCTATAGATTATCTGCAGATTTTCTATTTTCAGTTGGAAAAAGTGCAACAGATTCCTCCATCTACACTAAAGTGTGTGGATGGAGGAATCTCCCACTGAGCCAAGCTTCAGTATCTTGCTAGTCGGCCTGGCTGGCTGTCACAATACCTGAACATTGTGATTGGATGCAGGCATTGTTCAGATATTTAAAGAGCCAGCGAGGCCGACGCAACATAGTGAAGCTTGGCCCAGTCGGACATTCCTCCATCCACACAGTTTAGTGTAGATGGAGGAATCTGTTGCACTTTTTCCATCTGACCATAGAAAATCTGCAGATAATCTATAGGTGTATGGCCAGATTTACACAGTGCAGGGATCCTTTCATTTCCCCTCGTCCAGTCACAGAACACCTTTCTTCTAACAGAAAATACAAGGCATCCTGTGAATGGATGAGGGTAGAGGAAAGGAAGGGTAACCAGAATCTTCATTCATCCATTCACAGGACACCTTGTACTAACCATATACAAGGCTTTGTGTGACTGGAGAAGGGGCTGGGTATATGAATGGAGTCCTTCACTGTCACAGCTCTTCATCTCCGCAGCGCTGGATGTTTAGTGCTTTGTGCAGAATCCAGCATCAGAGCAGCTAGGGTTTTTGCAGTAACCAGCAGCCATACGGACCTAGGATTGTCTTATTTAGACGTAATTTATTTCAATTGTATTTGCAAAATAAAATCAAAATCCTGGAGTTTAGGTTTTCTGTTGCAAAACGTAGGTGTACTTTTTAAATAGGTGCAGATGTGTTCATTTTCCCCGTGGCTAATTTATTATGCGGTTTGCATCTGTTCCTACCTCGCTTTACACAATATACAAAAGGAGTTTTGATAAATGTCCCTCATTGTTTTATTCCACGTAGTAGGAAAGGTCATTATAAAATAGGCCTAGCACCCTGTGCTGGTTATATGGGATCATGAATTAAGGGAACTCTATATAGCTTGCTGTAAAAAAAATAACTATTAGATTTAATAAACACGAATTTTAGCTTTAACTAGGGCAGCAACGTTGGTTATAGCAACATACAAGCTCTATTTCGGTTTTGAAGGGTGCCAGATTGAAAGACCTCGTACACACAAATAAAGAAAATTCAGACTGGATTTAGACTGTTCTGTGAGTGTTGCAGCACGTGGGTGTGAATGAACCCATATACTCGTAGTCTCCCTTTCACAGTAAACTGCAGTTCATAGACGTGAACCAGCCCCATGAGAAAGAATTGGGTGTTTCTGGCAATGCAGCCCCATGGACAGTTATTCAGGCATCTGCAGGTACCCCAGCTACTGAATACTAGAGCTGGCAGTGGAGATTCCTCCAGCCACACTGTTTAGCATGATTTTCTCTCATTCAGCTTCAGGGAGAAAACAAATCTAGCTATGTATGGCCAGCTTTAATCCGCATGCTCCTTCAGACAGAGCGATCTGACCTTTTTGTTCATTATGTTAGTCTTTATCTGGCTGATATTCCCCAGATAGTAAACCACCACAGAATATGCGGACACTATATAAAGAGTAATAAGAATGTCTCTGGAGGAAGAGTTTCCAATAAGGAATCAGGCTTCCAAGACAATTCATTCCAGTACAAAATATTGCAACACATTAATCCCTTGACTTTTTATATTCACACCGTCGTATACATACGGCCGTACATGATATACTCCAAACTGTTCAATGTACTTCGATTCCGCAGCGCACACAGTACAGCAGATTGCATATTCCACATTGTTCTGCTATATACGGAGTATAGTAGCTGCACTTCATATACTGCACTGTATGATGTATACTCCACACTTCTCTACTTTATACAATGCTGTACTGCATAGCTTTTACTGTATGTTACATTGCTGTTCTGCGTACAAAATGTTTTTGTGCACTGTGTTAGTGTGTGGAGGTGGCCATTTTGGTAGAGGAGCAGGGCTTTATGTCAAGCTGCCCCTCCATTACCTTGGGTATTATTAAAGGTGGCCACACCTTACAATTATATTTGTCCCGTCAGCGTACCCTCGTTCAATTTCTGCACATAAACCTCATCATGCACAGACCAATGTAGATTTCGATAATCATTCGTCAGCAATACTAACTGGCCAAATTTGGTCGACAGAACAGATTTTCGTTTGCGCATGTGCAGCGTTCGTGTTGTGGTTTTTGTTCTACGAAAATGCCAGTAATCCATCGATTTGCGTCCGTTTCAATGAAAGTTTTCCAAATTTGGCCAGTTGTACAGTAATTGCGATCATGCACTTCTCATCAGCTGGCCGAGTATCGTACGAAACCGCGGACGAATATTGAACGACAATTGTAAAGGTGTATGGGCACCTTTAGGCCAGGCCAGGTTCACTTTGAGGGTAAGCTAGATTGGCGACTTAAATCTTATGCTGCTTGATTTAATCAATTGCTGGCAGCCTCTTCATTTGAAGCAAATTGATTTCAAGGTTGAGTTGCTCAATAGCCTGAGATTAGAATCACCCGTGGTTCTTTCCCTCGTTAACCCCAATACTCACTTGCATTCCTTGCCCTGCCCTTGCATGTTGTTGAGCAATGACTTTGGAGTCATATAAAGTTAACATTGTCCAGTAATGCACTCAGTAGACATTGAAGAAGGATTTCCCCACTTCTATGCATGTCAAGTTGAGAAGATTTGAAAAATTCAAGTAAATGGAACTGAATCATGTTTTTTTTTTTTTTTTTTGGCAGTTGGAGAGTAAAGCTGGCCATACATCTATAGATTATCTGCAGATTTTCTGTGGTCAGATGGAAAAGGTGCAACAGATTCCTTCGTCTACACTTAACTGCGTGAATGGAGTAATCTCCACCTGGGCCAATCTGTTGCACTTTTTCCATCTGACCACAGAAAATCTGCAGATAATTGTAAGGTGTATGGGGACCTTAAAAGGTGCCCACACACCTTATAATAATCGCAGGAAATCCCGCGATCGTACGATAATCGCAAGGTGTGTGGAAGGCGTGCGACCGTTTCTACTGTACGGCGGGTGTCTGGCATGATTGTAAGATAATTGCCGCACAGGCCGGTGTGTGCAAGCGCACACTGCACGTTCAGCATTGCGGTCATCGGAAAGCTTGCGATTATCGCAAGTACGATCTGCCTGTCCAAGATAGGCAGATCGTACGTTTTTTTTAATGACCTTACAACCAATCGCAAGACAAAAGTCTTGCGATGGTTGTAAGGTGTGTGGCCAGCTTTAGGGGGAAATCAATGGGAGAGCCCACAGGGGCAAAGGGGGAGACAATCCAGAGTATAATGTCATAAAATAGATTGCACAGAAACCCTTAGCCCCAGTTTCCCCTTTTGCACTGCAAGAATATAGTTACAGAGCGTGTGCAGACTGTTCTGTAGTAAAGGATACCTGTGCTGAGAGAAATATGGAGGCTTTCTAAAAATGCTAATTGCCTGGCTGTCTTACTGATCCAATTGCTTTATTACTTTGGATCGCTAAACTGAAACAAGTATCCAGATAAATCAGAACTGATCTGTCTTGCCTGTCCTGAGTAACATTAGGTTAAAGCGTATCTAAACACAAAGACAGTAATGTAATATAGCAGTTTACCAGTCTATAAAGGAGGTTCCTGCAAACGTTTTCTTTTTTCAGCCTTTATATTACCTGCTAATTCTGTAAATGATACTTCTGTCCCCGAGCGGCTACATTTACTTCTGAACATTATCAATGGAGGAAGCTATGGTTACTACGCAGGTTGGAATGCAAGCATGTTTTATGATTATTACATGGGGGGTTAGTAGTTTACACAAGAAGGAGAACATTGTTTTTGCTTCCAGTTTATCTCACAGGAAATGACAATGACACTTATTTACAGGAAGATCAAAATGTATTTGCTAAAAATGTTCTTAGCTTGAAAAATGAACATGTTGTTCTTGGGGTGAGTGATACCTTAAGGGATTTTCCCCAGAGTGACTCACTACCTCGAAAATCTGGGATGCATTATTATGAAAAGATTGACCAGATCGCTCATGGTTGCTCCGTTAGCCACCCCTTCCTGCTCCTGTCGTCTGCATAGACCACCTGTGAGGTCACACTCATAATGCTTTGTAGCCAGTAGGTGATTGAAGACACAATGCCTAATCTGCATATTTGTTTCACACCAATGACTCAAAATACTAAAGCATTTTAGAAGGCGAGGTCATTAATGGTAGTCTCTATAGTGGTCAGGTTTACTTCACAGTTAGGAGAAGGGAGTATGTTAGCATGAGGTTAAGGATCAGTTGTTATTTGCTGAAAGCATAGATGCTTACATGTCATTTACAGTTGTTTCGGTGTAAAACAAAACTGCATTAGGCTCCCATCACCAAAAATGAATATGTGGATTCTAGAAGAGTAAATGTAAATATCGGTTATATAATATCAGTACATTATGGGACAAAGCATTTTGCCTGCCTGCAGCGCCGATATACAGATTATACAACACAGCAATATTGGAACAAAACAGTTTTATTTACGTGTATAGGGGTTTAGCTTTGCAGTTATATTAAGTATATTACACTGTGATTTCAGAGGTCTGCACGCACACCAAAGCCAGGTCCTGTTGGAGGTCCAGTCAGAGAGGTTAGTCCTCCAGCAGGTTCACATGAAAAACGGCCATTCCTTAAAAACAAAAAAAGGATACAATTGATCAGTTTACTCTTCTAGGCTCTACAACAACACATTAAATGTACAATGATCCCTATTGTGTAACATTATAACAATTTGTAGAGAGAATCCCTACAATAGTAACCTTTTCAGCTCCTAAAAAGAGAATCCTATCTTACTGTACATTATAAACAATGTTGGGTGACCTTTTATACTCTAATCTTAGAATTGCACAGCAGCAAAAGTGCTACATGCTCTCCATTAGGAATAATTGTGCATCCAGTGCAATATGGCTTTCATGAAAGAAGGATGGCAATAGTATACGTAGTTCTGAAATTCATGGAAACTGGAACAGCTTGCAGCATCACAGAGCTGTATATTTCTACTTTCTGAGCAGACGTCCATCTGGCCGTTCACAAACGGCCATGGACGTAAGGTAGTTAAGATTTTCACCAGAATTAAGGAGACTTTCAGAGCAGGCCAATTTGTTTCCAAACAATATAAAAGTGCTAAAGCGGCAATTCAAAGAAATGTAAACTAAATTAAAATATAAATGGTGATAAAAGATGAAAGAACTATCGGGAGAGTAAAATGTACTCTTCCCAATAGTTTGAGCTGGTGTGCGACACTGCATCTTTTACATGTCGGCTCTATAGCTTGAGAACTCAGCGATCACAAACCGTTGATCACTCAGTTTATGGTTTCTCCCTGCAGAGACAGTCACTAGTCCCGTGCTCCAGAGCTCATTGGAGAGGCAGACAGGGGAGGAGGCAGGCACAGCTGGCTTTGGCTCTAGAGGCAGAGGCAGCTGTCAATTAGACAGCTCAGTGGATCCTGACAATGTTGTCAGGATCCGTCACGGGTGCAGGGCGGCTGTGTGCGGTCAGCATATAGCAGGAAATAGCCCGCTATATGCCGAGTTTTAGGTCACAGGTGTACATTAGTAAATGTCCTCCTGTGACCCAAAAAATGTTTGGCCATAGTTCTCTAAACTACAGTCTGGAAGCCCATTATTTATTGTGAGCTGATGACTTGGATGCCATACTCAGTAACCAGAAGAAATAGTGACAGATGAAACCAAAGGAAAGGGCTTTTCCAGGGTGAATGACAGCATGAAATCCTCAATGCTTCTAAAATAGACATCCTTGTGTACTGACTATCAAGAAGACCAGATAAATCGATATCTTCAGCTACTATGTAACATGACAGCATCCCCTACCTGGGTAAAGCCCCCTCAAAATCAACATCTGAATGCTTGACCTGCTCTTACTGATAATATTCAGTGAATAGAAAAGGATTCTCCTCAGATAAAAGATCACAAGGGGATGTTTCTGTATTCAGAGACAGCTGAGGAATATGTATTTTTATTTATATTTTTTTACTGACAGATATGACAAGACGAGGTTTACCATTAGCAGTGCAAATCCACTTCTAAACTTAACACAGAGAGGCAAATTACACATAGATTATGCCAACATTTAAAGCATGTTACAAAGAATGAGTACCTGGGTCCAGGAGAGGGAATTTTCCCAGCTTTCAAGTCATCAATTATATTTTCAATATCCTTTGGCAAAAGATCCTCCTGGAAGATAAATCCATCAAGCGGGTCAGAAAAAAAAAGTATATTTTATTCTGTATGGTTTTTCTCAAGAATGATGCCAACAAAACAAAAAGTCCCTTGTACCACATTTTAGAATGACAGACATACATTTGTCAGCCAAAAGATTTATAACTCTGTTCAGATGCTTTTGTGATATGCACACACATTTTCCATACTACAAAACAAGTCAAGTGCTTTCTATGTCCTATTCATTTCCACTGAACATAGCACTGCTAATTCATAGTCCATTGATAAGGCACAGAATGGACATGTACATGCAAAGTTTACTGCATACATACAGTATATAGACCGATCAGCCATACCATTCTGACCACTGACAGGCAAAGTGAATAACATTGATTATTACTAGGGATGCACAGATACCATTTTTTCAAGTACTGTTACTCAATTACTCACCAATACTTTTTTTTTTTAAGTGACATGTTCTCTAAAACACTGCAGACTAATGATTTTAGGACAGAGGTGGAGCACCAAGGCCCAGTCACAGCTGCAACCCTGGTAGTTCTGCCACTGACTCAGCTGTAGAGGGACTACTAATCCCAGCAATAAATTATACAGCAATGCAGAATACCACCAATCCTAGCAATACATTATACGGTAATGCAGAAAGGCACCGGATATAGAGGACTACATATCCCAGCAATACATTATACAGCAATGCAGACACACTCTGTTGCTCAGCAGGGCTGTTCCTGACCATGGCTGTAATGGGGTCTCACCATGGCTGTAATAGGGTCTCAGGAAGCAGCGAGTCTGAGGTTCCCAGGAACTGCGGGACCTCAGGCAGCAGAATCCATGAAAAAAATGTAAAGAGCTTAGTATTGGGGCATTGTCACGAGTACAAGTACTCGTGAAAATGCCTAGTATCAGTGCATCCCTTTTTACTAAATTACAATTGCACCTGAAAGTGGGTGGGATATATTGGGCAGCAAGTGAACATTTTGTCCCTGAAGTTGACAGCAGACAGAAAAAACGTGCAAGCATAAACCTGGCCATACATCTATAAAACTATCTGCAGATTTTCTATGGTCAGATGGAAAAAGTGCAACAGATTCCTCCATCTACACTAAACTGTGTGGATGGAGGAATATCCCACTGGGCTGAGCTTCAGTATCTTGCTACAGGGCCCTGCTGGCTCTCAAAATACCTGAACAATCTGATTGGATGCAGGCATTGTTCATTGTTCAAAGTATTTTAAAAACCAGCGTGGCCGACTAGCAACATACTGAAGCTTGGCACAGTGGGAGATTCCTCCATTCACACAGTTTAGTGTAGATGGAGGAATCTGTTGCACTTTTTCCATTTAACCATAGAAAATCTGCAGATAATCGATAGGTGTATGGCCAGCTTAATGATCTGAGCAACTTTGACAAGGGCCAAATTGTGATGGCTAGATAGCTGGGTCAGAGCAACTCCAAAACTACAGCTCTTGTGGGATGTTTCTGGTCTGCAAAATGGTTTGAGGAACACAACAATGAGTTTGAGATGTTGACTTGGCCTCAATTCTCCAGATCTCAATCCAACTGAGCATTTGTGGGATGTGCTGGAAAAACACGTCTGATCCATGGAGACCAATTTACAGGTCTTAAGGATCTGCTACTGACGGCTTGGTGCCAGATACCACGGGGTCAGGGCTGTTTTGGTGGCAACATAGGGACCCTACTCAATATTAGCCGGGTGGTCATAAAATGTTATGGCTGATCGGTGAATATATTTCCATTTTAATGCATAATTCAGGAGATAATAATAATAATAATAATAATGTTCTGCACTAAAATAAAAATGCTATAGTAAGTTTTGTTCCAGACATAATCAGAGAATTTTAGTGGGGTTAAGTTAGGTGGCTAAGGGCCTGTTCACACGACGTCCGTTTTCTGTGCTGACCTGATCCGTACGCTCCTGCGCTAAAAATGCATCCCAATGTATCCCTATGTGTTTTATGGGCTACAGTTGTCACGTGCGCAGTCCGTTCAGGTTACGACAGAAAAATACTGCATGTCACATTTTGTACTTCAGAAACGCAGTGCAGCTAACATACTGGCAGCCCCACTCCAGCAAAAAAACAAAAAAAAAATGTTTTTTTGTTACCTGGAATGCATCAAAAACACGGCAAAAACACATAGCACCGCGTCTGCTGATCCGCACCTGAAAGTCATGTGAACAGGCCCTTAATCAGAAGCAAAATGCAGGGTTAGAATAGCTGTAGAATTTACACCCCATTAGAAGGTGGCTGCTCATATGACAAAATGTATATTCTATTGTATGGAGACTGGAGTAGCCGGCGTGACGGTGGAGGTAATTGCAGACGTTTTGCCTGCATCTCCAACAATACATTAGCACTTAGCAAGTTTTGCAGTGAACCGGATGAACTGATTTAGCAGTTCTGAATCCTGGTCAGCTCAGGAAAAATGTTCAGATATAAACTGGCAGTGAATGCAGAAGATAAAATTATCATCACTATAAAAAAAACAACCTTTTGAAACAATGCAAAAAGTCCTGTTGATATTTTTGTACCTAAAATGGATGCCTTTAAATTCCTGCATTTTATGTGTATATAGCATGCATTGCAATGCAAACTACTACATAGAACAGATATTACACAAAATACCTCTGTTTCCAAGTGGAGTAGCAAACCCTTAGGACCTGTTCACACCAGCCCCCATGCACTATGCCATGTGTGTAGCAATCTGACTATGGTAGATACAGGCACACAATGCATCAGCATGGTGTCCTGTGACTCATAGGGATGCAAAATTGACCACGCCAGCATGGATCTATTTCCATGCTTGCCTTGGTCCATTTAAAACATGGGAAACAGGGGAATTTCTATTACAATAGTGGGCAGGTGGTTGCACCACCGTACCACTGAGTCGGCAACCAGCATTGCCTTCTAAACAGGACATGCTGTTTAAAATTTGCCACATAGCATCACGGATCATGTGCATTTGGGTGGTTGGGGGGGGAATAGTAAAAATGCAGGTCAACCACTTTTTTTTATTTATCGCCCTCGGCTGCCCATGTAAACGAGGCCCTAGGATATGACTGATGTCTGTTTACGTCAGGGAAACTTGCCATCTAATCCTGTCCAAGTGACAGGTGTCAGACAGAATAGTCTTCTCAACAAGGCATAGTTGGAAGTTCTAAGACTTCCAAAACTAGAAAAATAAATTTGGTGAGAACTGGGCTCTATCTCATCTATGCCACCTCTAAACAACCAGAATGTATGTTTTAATGTTCCACTAGACAAAAGTACAATGAGGGAGATTAATCAAAACTGGAGCAGACAAAATCTGGAGAAGATTTGCATGACAGCCAATCAGCTCCTCTTTCATTTTCAAATCCCAACTGAGCAAACTAAAGATAGAAGCTGATTGGTTGCCATGGGCAACTGCTCCAGTTTTGATAAATGTACCCCAATCTGTTTGCAGAAATTTGATCAATGTTAGCTGTGTGTTTAAAATAGGGATGTTCAGATACCAAGTACCGTACTCGGTACAAGTACAGATACTTTTCCAGCTCCAACACTAGACTAGAGAAAAATTCAAAAGTTAGGAGGCAGCTGTCATTAGGAGCATACGGAGCTCCTGGGATTTGTACATCTCTGTTTTAATATATGATTTATTTTTTAAATAAATATAAATAAAAGGATGTAGTGATACCATTTTTTCAAGTACTGATACTTGCCCAAGTACTCACAGATACAAGTACTGATACATTTTTGTTTATTGTCATGTGACAGTTTTTCTAAAACAATACAGACTAATGATTTCAGGACAGTGGTGGAGCGCCAGAGCCAGGTCCCAGCTGCAATCCTGGTAGTTCTCATGAAAATGCCAAGTATCGGCACTGGTATCTGAACTTCCCTAGTTTAAAACTATTCTGCTCTCCTCTGGACACTATGTACACAAAGAAGGCTTCATTCAGTGACCACTCCAGTGGGAGCTAAAGTTCTATCATTATACATTCTTATTATTCAAATTAGACAAACTGTTTATACCGGTCGTAATGCCAAACTGCCACTTTCCGTTTTTTTTATGAATGAAGCTGACTTCTTCCACAACAGATTTGTTGTCACTGTATTTCCTTGAGGAAGTAGTAAGCGCAGAAGCCATCTTTTATCTTGTGTGCATGTGCTCCATTCTCTGCACAATAAACACCATCTGCACATCTAAAAGCCCTATTTAAAGTCTCACTGTGCTGCTTGGAGATTAGCAGGTGGATTATCTAGCAAGTAACACAGCAACAATCTCAATCTAGATATATGCTAAGCAAACATTCTAGACAATGGCAAACTCTTGCAGAAGTCTATAAAAATATTTGAAACGTGTGAGAATGGTTAAAAGCTTCTGACAGCAGCATTTATGTTACTGACTTTATGCTGTCGTGACTCATGTACATACACAGAAGAGAACTGAAATATACTGTGAATGTGATTCATCCATTAACTACGTACACTTGGCGGTGTCATTTTTCATCCCGGAAAAAAGATTTACATGTTAAGAAAATGTATTTATAGTTTCAAGGCAAAATATAAATGTTTCCAAAAGAAATTCAGCTAGTCCTTGATGGGCTTTATAGTCACACAAGCGGCAATAGGGAACAATCCCGTGTGCGATACTACCAAACCATCCCTCAGGAAAGTGTGGGGGTAACAGTAAGCTGAACAAGAACACATGGGTCCATGCAGGTAGTGAGGCTTCACTTGAACTCTTCACCGTTTGCACTTCCATTGGTGAGATCATTACATGCAAACACAAAGACATGTGCGAGATGCAAGACTGCATCCAGTGCTTCTATTAGTCTTATTCCATATTGCAACTCTAGTATTAACCCTTTCGCTGCCACCAACGTATGTCAGCAACTGCAGGCTCCTGTAAACCAGGGGTCTCAAACTTATTTGACTCGGGGGGGCCACTCTACAATTTTTTTTTCTCCCATGGGGGCCGGCTTGCCAAATTTCGTACATCAAAATAAAATGTAATTATATCCGGTATGGTACTATGGACCCCAATACACACACAATAAGGCCCCATTCATATCTGTAAATTCAGGTGTAATTAGGGATTCCTGCATCAGGAACTTGCGTTTTTCTGCAGCAGGAATGCCTAATCTGGGGTTTACAAGTGGCAGCTGTCACCCATTCAAGGTAATGATCAGGTGACAGCCGCTGCATGTAAACGCCTGCATACCACATGTAATTGAATGTGATATGATTACATGCGGTTAGAAAACACTCTCCCTGGTTGCACAATCGATGCATCCAGGGAGAGTGACCGATTCCTAACGAAATGCAATCAAATCACATATCTTTACATGCGGTATGCAGGCGTTTACATGCAGCTGCTGTCATCTAATCATTACCTTGAATAGGTGATCGCTGTCACTTGTAAACACCAGATTAGGCATTCCTGCTGCAGGAAAACGCAAGTTCCTGATGCAGGAATTCCTAATTATATCTAAAGATACAGGTGTGAATCTAGCCTAATACGCTCCCCCCCCCCCATACACAAAAAAACCCCTACCCTTGTACATATAAAATAATACACCCCGCCATACACACACACAAAAAAAAAATACGCCTGCACATATAAAAATTAGGCTCACCCCCGTACACATAAAATAAAAAACTACCCCTGCACATGTAAAATAATACACTCCTCCCCCCACATACAGAATAATTACCCCCCACCCCTGGCTGCAGGCCACATAGTAGCGGCTCGCGGGCCGGTACTTTAAGACCGCTGCTGTAAACAGTCTAGCTACCGGGAGTCCTTTACATGTGTAAAGCCAACAGTCGGTTTTACACTGGAAGCGATTCAGGCAGCTGTAAAGCTATCTGATCACTTCCAGGAGCCAGTAAACATGACCATCCTCCAGACACCCTTCACCTTGCTTCCCAGGCTGCGCTGCACTGCCCCTCCTGCGGCCCGGTGTCACGCTTATGGGGATTTCCAAGTGGTGGATCGCAACTGCGGAGGGGTTCCTCTATGGGAACCAATCAGATATGAATCTCAGGTGTCACTCGCAATCTTAACGGCGAGTTTGGGATTCCACCATCAACTGCGGCCCGGTGTCACGCTTATGGGGATTTCCAAGTGGTGGATCGCAACTGCGGAGGGGTTCCTCTATGGGAACCAATCAGATATGAATCTCAGGTGTCACTCGCAATCTTAACGGCGAGTTTGGGATTCTACCATCATAGCCTAAGCAGTTATGCTAGTAGGGACAGCACTATTACTTCATAGCCTGTATGCAATCAGTGGGTAAGGTGCAGGTATAAACTCAATGGAGAGGGTGCTGGTGACTCAATAGGAATCTGGCATCAATCAAGGTACACAGTCTATGCATGAACCAGACACAGTCTCAATTAGAAATCACTCCAATAGGAGCAGTACTTGCAGTTCTGTAACAGATGGTGGCACTGTGGTTCAGCAGAGGGGTCCGCAGGGTCGAAGTGGGGGTCCCAGGCTTGGTTGCCAACGATGTGGTGTCCAGGTTCAGGAGGCAGCAGGCGTTCTGACCTCAATCACGGAACGCCATGCTGCCTCGCTCGTCTCCTTAAATAGGGCCAGGAATTGAGGGAGGAACTGCTGATCGGCCCGAACGACTTCCGCGTTCCACAGTGGAACGCATCCGCCCACTCACAAGCCGGAACTCGTGCCGCTTCCGTGTTCCATGGTGGAACGCAGAGAGGCCGCGGCGGAGACTGGAGCAAGCGGCCCAACGGCGTTACACCCGGGACCAGCATCATGGGTGTTGGGGCGGGGAGAGAGACCAGCGAACATCTGTTTGCTGATCTCCTACCCGCTGAATGAAACCAGAAGCGACGATTATTTAATTACTCCCGGTTTCTGTGCTGTCATTCCCCAGCTAGAGAGGCCGGGGAAGAAGCTGATCAAGCACAATCTAGCTCTAATAGACCATTAATGTCTCTTTAGGGCACCTGTCACCACTAAAGTGCTATCACATAGGGGGCTTTTGAGGCCCCTATGTGATCGCAAGCAAGAAAAAAAATTTTTTCAAGGTTCCCTGTCCTCGCATGCATGCACATAATAACGCAAACACGTGTCGGGTGCACCTACATACGAAAACAATTATTTGTTTTTTCACACATGCTAGGTATTGCGGCATGCGCCACAGTGAGAGCAATAATTCTAGGGCCTGTAAAGAATGCAATTTTTAAGTTTGGCATGTTGGGCATCTATTTATTGGGCACAACCTCCTCTTTTATATTTTTCCAAAAAAAAATGGGTAATATATTGTGTTTTGGTACTAAAATAAACTTGTGTTTTTTACTGAAATTTTGGGTTTGATAAAGATTTGTGCTAATATCATGCAACATAAAATTTGCAACTGCCACCATTCTATTCTACAGGTTCTTTGTTTTCAGGAAATATATAATTCTGGGGGGTTTAAATTATTCTCAGGCCTCAGAAAGAGTTAAAAGTTTACTTTTCTAAACATATTTTATGTTACATCTAAATTCTGAACTAGTCCATTCATACTTCCTTCCTACCATCCCTTAACTGAAGGGACAGGGGCTGGGAGAGAGTCTCCAGGAGCCAGAGCACTGTACCCACGATTCACTGATCGCGGTTGCAATGCTCTGTAGGCTCAAATAATGTGTGTGCAAGTTTAATTTTTTTCTTTCTGCAAACACTAGACTATACCTTAAACAATGTTTCCCTCCACATTTGTTTTATCTAAAGAATATGTTATGCTGTGTACACGTGTTCCTAATAAAATGTTATCCAATGCATTTGAACACTAACCTGTTCTTCTTTGGTTGATATACTTTACAAAACCATTTGCATGCTATGTTTAGAACATATGGTAGTCAGCTTTTAAAGAGCCAATAAGCTTAAAACAGAAATTGGCTTATATAAAATAGCTATGACATTATCAGATGCACATGTCCATTTCAGGAGCTTATCAGAACCAAGCATATTTACGATAATCCCAGCATTATCGATGAGAAGAAAACCGTTTGATGCATTCGAATGCATCGCAAGTGCACAAATCAATGTAGTATTTTGAAGCTAATCAGTACCATCTATTAGCCTGAGAATATATCCTTCAATACAAAGGATTTCACAATGGTGCCAGTTGTAATTTCCTGAGCACATTGATTACATACCCAAGTTATAGTCTAGACCTTATCGAATACATATTCCACATATAATTATATAATTGTAGTTTTGTGCTGTTTGCTGCAGCCAACATAGTTCGGTGAGTACGCACTGTGAAGGGGGTGGACGTGTGGACACAAATACGATCCTCAGCAAGCTTCATTTACCATCTGAGCATTTGGAGGCTGCACTTATTGCACTTTAGTGGACTATTTTTTGCACAGAGATTCATTTTTTGCACTGAGATTGATCGCCGTGTGATATTGGAAGAATTTATTTATATTAGATGTTTTCCTCCTATTGCACTTAAGGGGATACATTTGCATAGATATTGAGCTTACGTAGAGGTTTTATAATAGGAATTGATCATTATGTGATACTATCACCCAATTGCCGAATTTTATATGTTTAACAATAGTGCACTGAATAATTTCACAGAGGAATCATTGTTTATGCACTTGATATATATATATAATCTATGAATAGTTGAGTCCTTTTTTTTTTGTGCACTCAACATTGAGGCCACCACCTATCTCATTATAGTGACTTTGCCCACTTAGGGTGGATTCATCTTAATGTTAACACGACTATACACAAATTGAACTACTAGCGCTGCATATCTAGTTAAATATGTAAATAAACTACATCTCGAGGCAAAAAAATACATTTAAAGGCCAACTCCATGCAAACAGGTCAGAAAAGGAAGCAAGAAGGAAATCTGCCCTACATGCTATTTGGCAGGTGGCAGACACAAGAAGTGAGGGACACACACACACACACACACACAGTAGAAATTGAGAACAAATGACAGTGTTTTAAATCAATATACTCACATAGTAGTTGTCATTAATCTGGACCATTGGGGCATTTACACAGGCTCCAAGACACTCAACTTCTGTCAGTGTGAACAGTTTATCAGAAGTAGTCTCTCCCGCATGTATTCCTGTAATCACAAAAACACAGCGGGGGGGGGGGAATCAAAACTGGACCGAAAAAAAAATCTGGAGCAGCTGCCCAGGGCAACCAATCAGCTACTCTCTTCAGTTTGTTCAGTTAAGATTTGAAAATGAAAGATAGAAGCTGATTGGTTGCTATGCACAGCTACTCCAGATTTTGCCTGTTCCAATTTTGATAAATTGCCCTCAGCTTGTCTTGACATGTGCCACAAATAACACAGCATTAAAATATCTAAAAAGAAAAATCAGTGTTAAAGCCAAAGGCATCACCACAATTGAAGGCAACTACTGTGGGTTTTTGTTTTCCCATTTATTTTTAGTAATGTCAGGTTCCCTTTCAGAAACATGCTGCACAAACAGCACACTTCTTCTAACATTTAGCCCAGGGCAAAATACAGCAATCAACACAAACACAAATTTCCATTGATTCCAGTGGAAGGGTGTTTGGCTCGTCACATTCAACTGAATTTAAACAAGTATGGCATTCTCTTCTTTCAGTTTCCTGAAGGACCCCTTCCCTTACTGCAATTCCTGTGATGGGATTAAAGGGTGGTTCTAATTCTACTAAACTCATTTGTCTCTTCTAGAAAATGCTACCTAAGGGTAGATTGGAGAGGCAGGTTGGAGTACTAGATAATGAAGACTGGGAAGAGGCTTGCCCTAAATTGTTAGATACATATTCAATTATATATACTTCATAGATCGTATCTGACCCCTGTGCGACTATCCAGGTTAAGCCACAAGCATAGCCCTCTATATGTTGTTCTGATCTAGGTTCATTCTTCCACTTAATTTGGGACTGTCCACCCAGGTAGTCAGAATCCTACACGATAAAATGGGTTCCCTGATCAACCATAACCCAAAGTATTGTCTCCTGCAAATATTTTCAGACTTGAATTCAGATAAATTGGCCAGATTATCCAGACATGAAACTTTATTTCTTCCGCACAAATGTTTTCTAGGACCCACAGGCTCTGCTGCCTTCTTGTGTTGCTTGGATTGCCCAGATAAATGCCACCTTACCATACAAAAAGCTTATCTATAGGCTGTAGAGGTTGTCCCACTAAATTCCAAACGGTTTGTGAACGTTAGTTAGATCACTGAATCTAGTGACCCCTTATAGACATCTGTGTACTCTGTCAGCACTTGTATCATTATTTTGATTCTGGCTTTGTGGTTTGTTTACTATAAGTTTCATGACTCTCCAAGAGTGTGATGCAATGTGCCATGTTATTACTGGCTTGTTTTTGTACTTTGTTTTCTTTTTCAATAAAGTTTCTCTTTTTGAAATGTGAAGAAGTTGAACAAGTAAAAATTAATGCCGTTTGTCTCCTCAGAGTGCCCCCCACAAAACCCTGATGGAGTTCATTCTTAATAGTCTAAAGATAAATATGACAGCCGATAATGGAAACTTTGACATGGCTGACATAGAAAATACAAATAAAAGAAATGCAGATGTTTATAGTTCTTCCCCATGTTTACTATTTATCAATATGCGACTGTGCAAAAGCAAGTAAACATAAAAGAACGTCAGAATGTCACACTGGCTTTATAATTATGATTTGCACACATCTCTAAGACCATTTATGACAAAGAACATGAACACAGGCCTTACCAAGCTTCTTCTGGATGGCTTCCAATATTGAATCAGAATCTCTGAGCATGCAAGGTGTCGTCGTACAAATTTGAATATGGTACTTTCCTACTGGTTTCCTGTTATACATAGTATAGAATGTGGCCACTTCATACACTCGCATGGCAGGCATCTGCAAGACATCAGCTACCTGAAAATACAGAAAAGGGGAAACCATGAAGACACATACTTTATAAAATAATAAAACACGATAGCAAACTAAAAGGGAATTTTCAATAGAACAGGGGAACTCGCGGTCAGCTAGTTGCAGATGGAAAGGAATGCTTTTTATCCATAGCAATATGGAGTACAAAATCCTGAATTACAGTACAGAAGATTGCTAACAATTAAAAAAGATGAGTAGTCCAAGCAAACGTTACTGAATTAGAACGGTTTATTGTCATATTAAAGTGACACGAAACCTTCATGTTATCCTTCCTAACACTTGTACACACGATGGAATATCCAAAGCTGCATTCATTTCTTTAAAAAAAAAAAATCCTATTCAATCTTACGCCCAGCTACCTTGTCAGAGCAATGTATGTTATTTCTTGTTACTCGCACTGCTTTCTGTGCCTACAAGTCCCATAAGGCAGCATGCAAACTGCTCCCAGTGCACATACACATTTTTTTTTTCTGCAACTCATCAGATCTGTAGTGCACAAAAAAAAAAAACGAACAACAGCTGTATTAAAAGCAGAGAAAGATGTGCAGCTCACCCCTGCACTCCCTCCTTGCAAAGCCACTGCACTGAGGAGGGAAATCATAAGACATAAATACAGTAAACTCCCAGGGGGATTGGTAGATGCCGGATAACTGTAGTTTCTGGTTGCTTGAGCAACCACCCCTGCATCTACTGTATCAAGGACCTCTTAGTTCATTCCTGAGATAGGTGGTACTCTAATTAAATATGGAAGCCTGATCGGAGACCAGTTAAGTATCTATCAGACTAGAACATCGCTGAAAATGGGCAAAACATTTGAAGGCCACTTGCTATGGACATGGATACCAGCTGCTTCAGAGTGCTCTTCCCCTCCAGGAGTTCAGTTCAGTACTACCTTTTTACCTATATAGGACACCAGAAAAAACATACGTCGACTCTCCACCACATGTACCTTAGGCTTAGGAAAAGTAGTAGGCAGGTCTCACTGGGCACAATTCTTCCTGTCCCTGTCTAGGTGGGAAAAGTCTGCCACGGTAGTGTTGTCATGGAAGATGAACAAAGAAGGATGTGGTCAGATTTCCGGTAGAAGCACAGTGTTTATGATTTTACCTTGTTCATAGCAGAGATAGGCAGCCATCCATGTTGTCTTTGTGCCAAATCCAGCACTGGAATTACAGCTGCGGCTTTGTGACCTTCTGGGTAGTTGCCAACTATAGCTTCTATTCTCTATTGAAAGAAAAACAAAATCTGTTAAAACATAAATCTCATCCGTGTTGGAGATGCTTGCGATGAAAAGCAAAGCAATTTAGATGCAGGCTCTGCAGCCACTAATGGTGTTATATAAAAGGCAGAGCCTGTGTGTTCTGTTATATAACAGAAATGTCTCCCGTAAGCAAACACAATGTACCTTGTAATTTTCTGGAGTGAAGTCAAAGGGTGTATCTGGGTTGTTCTCAGGGGTATCTCTGTGCTGCAGAAACATAAATGAAAACATCAGAAGCCTGATACAGAATTACATATTCATTTATCCAGATATGAATCGACTCGACATGAAAACTACTCTGTGTACTTTCCTCATTGTACTGAAAAGGTTTTTTTGTACATAGATAACAATGTTAAAACATATAGATGACTGTTAATAGAGCACAAACAGAACATTGCTACAACAAGGTTGAGAAAAAAAAAAGGCATGCCATACACATGAAAACAATACTGCCATTTATCTAAAAAAATAAATCAATTATCCTGAAAGGGTCAGTACACTTAGAAGTGATATTTCTGGTATCGGTAGAGTTTTAGGGGGATAAATCACCTGCTGCCTTCTTTATAGCTATAGAGACTCCTGCAGCAAGATCCTCTCTGCCCACATCCCCACTTCCTTATGCTACTGTCTGCTTAGGGCAGATGATGACCATTTCCATCTCTAACCAGTCCCTCTGACTTATACCTAATTACCTGCAAAGGACAGCGACACGTAACTGCTATAGGAAAGGCTAAGGTGTCTGACATGTGGGCTTTAAAAGGGACCATTCACATCTCTCCAGTGCGGTACATGCAGTGAGTTAAGGCACAGTACTTCCATCATCATGTTGTTGTGCCATTCATTCTGAATTACACCCCAGCACACTAAGGACCCATTCACACCAAATCCAGATCTGCAGACCAGATTGTTTCCGGACCCAAAATGCATCTTAATGTATTCTATGCTATTTCTGGCCTCTGTTCACACCAGCGCAGCTTGTTCCAGACCAGAAAAATACTGCACGTCTCATTTTGTCTGGTCTGGAATGATTTGGAACTCCAGGCAGGTTCACACCATTTTCCAGACCAGATCTGGTCCGGAAAATGGTGTGAACCTGCCCCCAAGCAACACAGCTCAAGCGAACATGCATTGCAGGGCACCACAATGCACAATATTGTACTACTGCGAGTGATGTGCTGCATTACAAAAATCCAACAAACTTCTTTATAAATGCCCCCAAAAAAGCATGAAAATGCATGCGGAAATCTACCACAACAATAATAAAAAAAAAAAAGCCTGTTTCCTATAGCACGTACCAGAGTAATTGCTGCCGTCACTTAAATGGACAAATTTATCTAAAATATATTTCAGGAAACTGCCAACTTTCTATGTAGAGGAATACTAACCCCAGCTAACTTTGTGTTTTAGACAGGGTAGGGAAGAGTTAACGTTTCTGACAGGATTTATATTTACTGTAACCCTACTGGGGAGATTAACCCTCACTTACTGACCCGTCCGAGATAATCAATGCTCAGAACAGAGCGACTCCTCCCAGGATTGGGTGGGGATACAACCTCCCTATTACATTCCCAAATCCTGGCAAATCCAAAAAATGTTACTACAGAGAACTTCCTATGAGGGAATAATTACATCACTTCCCTCAGATGGTAGAACCACTTCATCACCTCTCACTAATGCCAATAAACAAACTAGGCAAGAATGCTACTATGAAATAATGACAAATATGAAATAAAGATAATGCAAAAAAAAAAAAGTATGCATGCACATTTTTCACTTGCAATTTCAGATTGTTTGCCTTAAAATAATAATAAAAAAGACATTTTAGTTCTGCGTTAAGCATCAGCATTTTCAAGGAGAAAAAAAAAATATCTTCCGTCACATTTATAAAGCACAGCTGGGCGCTTACAAACGGTTTCTTCAATAATATGAAACAAGTGACACCCATTTATTAATAGGTGGAAGGAGGAAGAACTCCTTTCTGCACTGTAAGGCCTCATTCACACACAACGCAAGAGCAAAATTGTATATTGCGCATATGCGCGTACATACGAGCGTATATGCGTGCACTATTTGCAATCCCACAATGCATCATTCATAATAGAAATGTTAATGAACTGTATATGCGCGTAAATACGCAGAAATACGCCACCCGGACGCATCTCGGTTCCATTCTGTTTTTGCGCATTTTTATGCTACGCAAATATACAGCTCCATGCGCAGCTATGTGTATGGAGCCATTTATTTGCATATGCTGCACATGGTACTATACGCGCGTATATGCGTGGCAGTGTGAATGAGACCTTATGCAGGACAACACAGGCTCCACATCTTCCTCTGCAAACCTGAAACCTAAAATTCAGGTGTATTGTAGGGTATGGACTACTGTGTCTGGTGGATAGTGGTATCCAATCTCCATTTCTAATCAGCCCCCAAAGTGTACAGATTAGATCACATAAGTCGGGTATATGGCAGCAACTGACATATAATGACACCTGAAGTGGATAACAGAAGACTACTCAAGATAGGACTAGATAAATCTAGGAAGCCAAGTACCCAATGCAACCTGAATACCGAATTACTCTCAGCCACACTGTAATAGTGTGAACCTAGCCTATCGCATTTGTTTTTACCTGACATGTCCCTAACAAAGCCTTCTCTTTCCTTTGTCCCCAAAAGACTGGCAGTAACTTTTCTCAGGCAGGGGATCAGTACCAGCTTTGTAGACTAAGATCCTGGCCCAAACATAGTACAATCTCGAGAATCCTGGTTCCTGTCCAGTATTCCTTATGTTCATGGCTGTATGTACACACACACACACACACACACACACACACACACACACACACACACACACACACCTCACATAGCTAAAGTCCCTGCTGCTGTTTTTCATTCTGTGTCTTGACAATTGTGCAATGTACTGTCTGGTTGAGTCATCACTCCGAAATAGAGATTACAAGGATGCTTTCCTCTTCCAGATATTTCCAATATTGTTCTATGCACAATCACTTGACTGAAGCCCAACGGAAAGTTCAATTTCATTTTTAAAAAGGTACTTTGGAAATGTATGGTACTGCTGAATATCTTGGCGTGTCAGGAAATGTATGGTACTGCTGAATATCTTGGCATGTCAGGAAATGTATGGTACTGCTGAATATCTTGGCGTGTCAGGAAATGTATGGTACTGCTGAATATTTTGACATGTCAGGAAATGTAAGCATGCGTATAATTAAATAATACTGCTAGGCCCACCTTTGTATTGGAACAGCATCTTTCAAGTTGTTAACATTGCTTGTTGGCTGGCGGCTTAGACTGACTGGCTTGTGAATTCTACAGTCTCTTGTCCATTCCTGACATAAGATTAACTCCAATTAAAGGTGTCCTTCTTGTATAGTTATTTTGGACAAAACTTGGCATTAAAAAGGAGAATTATGAGGTGAGTGATTTTCACTCACCTCATAATCTTGATACGACCTGTAACAATGAAACTGTCACAGGTCGGCTCAGTAGATCGGGAAGTGAGCGAACACATACCGGCACTCGCTCACTTCTCGATCCTGTGCCGGCAGAGAGCCGTGACAGGGGAGGGACTGGATTCCCCCCTCCCCTGTCCGATCCTCCAGCGCTGACTGGCGGAGCGGACGGGGCGGGGATACTGAGCTTAGGGGGACGGGAGGACGCTAGTTTGTGTCCTCCCGTTACCCTTAGGAGAACTATGGGGAAAAGACCTAACCCCATAGTTCTCCTTTGACATAGTGAACTGGACTTGAACTCAAAAAGTAAACATTTGCCAATAGGAAACATCTATAAATGTTAATAGTGTATAACTTGTACCCTTTGTCACAATCTCATCCTGAAATATAGCAGTGCACTTCCTGGTATGTGAAGACACTTAATACTCCTATGCCTACACCCTCATAGCTGTATATCTGGTATGTGAGGGCACTGCCACCTCTGACTGCTGGCCTCATGAGACTGTGCTGCTTGCAGGAGAGGAATCTGTACTACAAGAAACTCCCTGCTTCTGTGCCATACATTCATTCTGTGCTTCCTCTACCTCTGCTGTTGCTCTTTGAATATTTTCCCACCAGTCATAAGATCACCAGTAATCTAGGGACAACTCTGACATGAGGAAGCAAAGCCCTCCCTCTACCAAGATAACTGCATCCTCACAGACACAGTAAGTCAATAATGGGGACAGCTGCTCCACTTATTTTACATTTCAGTGTCACATACCCACTTAGATATCTAGTACATCAGATGAAAAGCTTGGTCAAGTGATGATTCCAATTGCCCCCATCAGCCCATAGATCTGCTCCGTAGCCATACATCCACATCTGTACTCACCCAAATACTCGGTATCGGCACCAATACTAGTATCAGTGCATCCCTACTCATTACATAACCAAACTCGGCTTCTTTCTTTGTAGTGCTATAAAATGTTTGTGCTTCACTGCTCCTCCTCACAATGAAAGTCGATGAGTTGGCCAACTGATTGAGAACAACAGACTACTAAGTGATTAATTTCTTACCTCAACTAACAGAGTGTGATTGCACTGAGACAGCGAGAGCTTGCTCTAGTTACACATTTACAAACCTCTATATTTGAAGTGTATGTATAGCCACTAGAGCTGCAGCTAACGATTATTTTCAAAATCGATTAGTTAGCCGATTATTAAGTTCGATTAATCGGTTAATCGGATAGAAAATTAAAATTAAAGTTTAAAAAAAACGGCTCCATTGATGGGACTGCTAGTTTGTATTGCGATTGTAGTCCATCACAGGAGCAAACTTGGAGCGGTGGAAGTAAAAAAGAAAAAAAAAAAAGTGTGGTGTGCAATATAGTGAAATTAAAAGTGTAAAATTGAATGAATGCAGAATGGCACCGGCTATAGAGGACTACAAAACCCAGCAATAATGCATTATAGATGGCGGTATTCTGCATTGCGCTGTATAATGTACTATTGCTGTGTTTTGTAGTCCTCTATAGCTGGTGGTGTTCGGCATTGTGCTGTATAATGTATTATTGCTGGGATTTGTTGTACTCCTCTATAGCTGGTGGTATTGTGCTGTATAACGTATTATTGCTGGGATTTGTAGTCCTCTATACAGCGCAATGCAGAATACCATCAGCTATATAGGAATACAACAAATCCCTGCAATACATTATACATACAGTGTATAATGTATTCCTCTATAGCTGATGGTACATTGCTCTGTATAATATACAGTACAGCACAATGTACCATCAGCTATAGAGGAATACAAATCCCAGCAATACATTATAGAGCACCATGTGTGGGAAAGTGCAGTCGTACCTGAGCAGTCTTCCAGCAACTTGCTTCTGAGATCTGGCCCGTCTATCTGCCGCTGTCATCCTCCCCTCCCCACCCACACACACCTTCTCCTCACTACTTCTCCCCGCGTCCCTGTGCCGATCGTGGATGTGGGCGGGCGGTGAGCGTGAGGCGGGGAGGAGGTGCGGCGTGTGTAGCGTGGATGCGGGCGGGTCTGGCAGCGGCGAGCGTGAGGTGGGGCGCGCAACGTGTGTGGAGCTGTGGACAGGGGCACCTTATCAAAAGCCGATTAATCGATTATTGAAAAAGTTGACAACTTTTTCAATA